GAAAAGTTAAGGGGCCAAAATGTACATTTGCAAGAAGTTAAGTGTGTCTAAGTAAAATAGAAAAGTTAAGGGGCCAAAATGTACATTTGCAAGAAATTAAGTGTGCGTAAGTAAAATTGAAAAGTTAAGGGGCTAAAATGTACATTGCAAAAAGTTAAGTGTTCGTAACTAATTTAGAAAAGTTAAGGGGCCAAAATGTACATTGCAAAAAGTTAAGTGTGCGTAAGTAATATAGAAAAGTTAAGGGCCAAAATGTACATTTGCAAGAAGTTAAGTGTGCCTAAGTAAAATAGAAAAGTTAAAGGGTCAAAATGTACATAACAAGAAGTTAAGTGTGCGTAAGTAATATAGAAAAGTTATGGGGCCAAAATGTACATTTACAAAAAGTTAAGTGTGTGTAAGTAAAATTGAAAAGTTAAGGGGCCAAAATGTATATTACAAGAAGTTAAGTGTGTGTAAGTAATATAGAAAAGTTAAGGGGCCAAAATGTACATTTACAAGAAGTTAAGTATGCGTAGGTAAAATTGAAAAGTTAAGGGGCCAAAATGTACATTACAAAAAGTTAAGTGTGCATAACTAATTTAGAAAAGTTAAGGGGCCATAATGTACATTTGCAAAAAATTAAGTGTGCGTAAGTAAAATTGAAAAGTTAATGAGCCAAAATGTACATTCCAAAAGTTAAGTGTGTGTAAGTAAAATAGAAAAGATAAGGGGCCAAAATATACATTACAAAAAGTTAAGTGTGCGTAAGTAATATAGAAAAGTTAAGGGGCCAAAATGTACATTTGCAAGAAGTTAAGTGTGCGTAAGTGATATAGAAAAGTTAAGAGGCCAAAATGTATATTTACAAAAAGTTAAGTGTGCGTAAGTAAAATTGAAAAATTAAGGGGCCAAAATGTACATTACAAGAAGTTATGTGTGTGTAAGTAAAATAAAAAAGTTAAGGGGCCAAAATGTACATTGCAATAAGATAAGTGTGTGTAAGTAAAATATAAAAGTTAAGGGGTCAAAATGTATATTGCAAGAAGTTAAGTGTGTGTAAGTAAAATAGAAAGGTTAAGAGGCCAAAATGTATATTGCAAAAAGTTAAGTGTGTGTAAGTAAAATAGAAAAGCTAAGGGGCCAAAATGTACATTGCAAAGAGTTAAGTGTGTGTAAGTAAAATAGAAAAGTTAAGGGGCCAAATTGTACATTACAAAAAGTTAAGTGTGCGTAAGTAAAATAGAAAAGTTAAGGGCCAAAATGTATATTGCAAAAAGTTAAGTGTGTAAGTAAAATAGAAAAGTTAAGGGGCGAAAATGTACATTTATAAGAAGTTAAGTGTACGTAAGTAAAATTGAAAAGTTAATAGGCCAAAATGTATATTAGAAGAAGTTAAATGTACGTAAATAAAATAGAAAAGTTAAGGAGCTAAAATGTACATTATAAAAAGTTATGTGTGCATAAATAAAATTAAAAAAGTTAAGGGACCAAAATATAAATTAAAAGAAGTTGAAATAGATACTAATGAGAAAAATATAATGAATTATGCATTGTTATTCTAGAGAGTTTTTTTTCGGGGCAAATAACAACCGACTTGTAACCCGTTTTAAGATTGACCCGACTTGTTAAAATCTAGGGTTTATGTTTATTTTCCTGTTGCTAAACCCTTCTTCCATTCTTCTTTCCTTGTCTACTGATCGGAGACTTGTATCTCCGCCGGCGTGAAGGATCCCAATGGGTTCCAAAAACAAGAAGAATAAAAAGGCGCCAAAGGAAACTCCTGATGCTAACACGGCGGCGAAGGTTGCCGGCAATCGCGTGTTTGGCAGCGGTAACAAAGTGATTACGGACGAAAGATTCGCAGCGTCGCAAAAAGACCCTAGATTTCAGGATGTTCCGAAGCATAAAAATAAGGTGGCGATTGATTCGCGTTTTAGTCGTATGTTCACTGATAAGAACTTCTCTACTTCCTCGGCTCGTGTAGATAAGCGAGGCAGAGCTAAACAAGATGGCGATTCATCTCAAGATGCTCTTAAACACTATTACCGAATAGACAATGAAGAAAAAGAACAGAAAAAACAGCCTGAGGAGTCGGATGATGACGATGACGATGACATGGAAAGCGATGAAGAGAACAAAGAAAATGAGAGGAAGGAAGCTGAAAAGTTGAAGAAAGTTAGGGAGAAGTTGTCCAAATCCAAATCCAAATCAGAATCGGAGACGGAATCAGAATCAGAGTTAGAGTCCGAATCCTTGGGAGAAGAAGAAGATTTTAAGGATGATTGGACTTCCACAGATACGGATGAAGATGATGAAGCTTATCTAGAGGAAGAAAATGATGCTTTGCAGGTAAATTCCAATTACAATCTTCGTGTCATTATTGGTTGAGAAAAATAATTATACTGATTTACTATTGCGGTTTGATATGAAATATTTGGAACTTCAATGGAGATAGCTGGAGGAGAATGTACCTGAAATTGACAAAGAAACTCACAGGCTCGCTGTTGTTAATTTGGACTGGAATCAAGTTCAGGTGAGTAAGATTCTTGGTCTATTTACATTCACTTTAAGCAGAATCAAGAGCTGTTGATTGGTTATGCAGAACCACTAGGGTGTCACAGGGATACAATACCTCTGTAATAATCTCAGTATTTGTTAAACTTGACTTTCCGCTGTGACTTTTGAGACGAGCGTGGATGGACTTTATGTTATTAGAATATTATGGATTTTGGGTTGTTACAAGAGGCAGTTTGGTCTTTCTAGAAATCATGGATAGATGACAATCCAGAGATTATAGTTTAGAAATTAGGGCTAATATTTATCAAGTAGAATGCAAGTCTTGTGTCTGCAAGGGAGAAAGGAGGCAAGAAGATCAAACCAATTATTGTTCTTGATGGTTTAGACAATTATGGGTGTACGAAATTAAAATTAAAACATGATATGGCTTATATGCTCTTGTTCTATATATAGTATACTCTATATGTACTGCAGTACTGGTTTGTATATAGTAAATGTTACTCCAGTCAGCTCATTGATGCTTGTTATCTTTTGCTTTTATATTATATACTACCTCCATCAGAAATTTAGGTTTCATTATGATTTTCAAATCTGTAATGGATGAAGATAATTTCTCTTTTTTATTGTGTTCAGTTTTGGACTTAAAAAATATTAGATATACATATAGTCGTATATCAAAGGAACCCTTCCTTTGTCTTTTGGAATCACTCCTGGTGTACACGTATGATATATTCGTATTTGTGCATCCTTATGCTTGCAACATACTTGGTCTATGTATGGTTGTATTTGCCCCTAAAGATAGTACTTGTGTTTCTTTTGTAGGCAGTTGACTTGTTTGTTGTGTTAAGCTCGTTTCTGCCAAAATCAGGGCAGATTTTATCTGTGTCTGTATATCCATCTGAGTTTGGACTCAAGCGAATGGAAGAGGAGGCAGTGCGTGGTCCAGTTGGTTTATTTGATGATGAGGATGGGAAAAATACGAAAAATGATGATAACGACGATAGTGATGATGACAGTGAGATAGACAATGAGAAGTTGCGGGCTTATGAGCTAAGCAGGTTAAGGTAATTGAATCTTGATTAGAAAAAGGCTTATGTCATGCGTACTGATTTTTAATACTTTTTTCATCTGATATTAGTAGTTTGATAAATTCTATGCATCGACATCAAGAGTAGATGTCATAGCACTTTCTTAACTTTGAGTGTTCTTCTCGTATCAGGTACTATTTTGCAGTGGTAGTATGCGACTCAATTGCTACCGCTGATTACCTTTACAAAAGCTGCGATGGCATTGAGTTTGAAAGGTCCTCAAATAGGCTGGATTTGAGGTTTATCCCAGACTCCATGGAGTTTACACATCCTGCACGTGATGTTGCTACTGGAGTAATGTTATACAATTTGTTTTGCTTTTTATTTGCATATAAATACTCATCAAGTTATTTTGGAATATATAATTTTTATATTTATCCATCTGGTTTGGGAAAAATTTCGACATTGGTTGACAGTTCCATCTATTTTTGTCTCAGGCTCCAGCGAATTATGAAGGTATAGATTTTCAGACTCGAGCATTGCAACTCAGCAAAATTGATCTTACTTGGGATGAGAATGAACCCCAGCGTTCCAAGAAGCTTAAAAGGAAAATTAATGTTGACCAGGTATGAAAAAGGTGTTACAAAGAAGGTGTTTAATATTATCTTTTTTTTGTGGCAAAATGTAGCATCCTCAAAAGGTTTATCATTGCTTCCCCCCTTGCGGTGTACAAACCTGCTGCAGTTTAATGGAGTCCATGAACATTGATTAATGATTCTTACTATTCCACATGTATTCTGATACCATTTCTATTTTCTTGAAGGAATCCGAGTATGTTAAGGATGAACTTGAATTAAAGGAATTCCTTGCTTCAAGCGAGAGTGAAACTGATGAAGATGAGAATGATGTTGATGGTGGCAATAAGCCTGGGAAAAGACAGAAAACCGATGCATACCGTGCTCTTCTCCAGTCTGGGGATGGTTCTGATGAGGATGAAGATGACGATGGAATAGATATGGAGGTGACTTTTAACACTGGCTTAGAGGATCTAAGCAAAAAAATTCTGGAAAAGAAAGATAAAAAATCAGAAACCGTTTGGGATGCATATCTTCGCAAAAAGAAAGAGAAAAAGAAAGCTAGGAAGAATAGATCCAAGAATTCATCAGATGATGAGAGCGGTGGTTCTGATGATGAACCGGTTGAAGAACCTGGTGACTTCTTTACAGAAGAATCTGCTCCAAAGAAAAAGGTGTCGGGTGATAGAAGAGGTCAAGAAACCAAAACAGGGTTAGCAGGTGAAGAAGCTGCAGCAAGTAGAGCAGAACTCGAATTGTTACTCGCAGATGATGATGGCGGAGATGCTAATGTGAAAGGATACAATTTGAAACGTAAAAGGTCTAAAGGGAAGAAGGGAAAACAAGAAGCTATAGATGAAGGGAAGATACCGACCGTTGATTATGATGATCCTCGGTTTTCATCTCTCTTTACCAGACCAGACTTTGCTTTGGACCCAACTGATCCTCAATTCAAAAGGTACATTTCTTTTTCTTGCGGTTTTCATGCAGTCTTATTCCTCATTTAAATTGACTTTCTACAGTAATTTGTAGGGTGATGGATTGCAGAAGCCATATATCTATCGATAACATTAGTTCCTATTTATTTTGGTCATTGACATTTTCATATCGTTGGTCGTATATATGTGGGTGTGAGAAGCAAGAGTGATTGTGGTTCTAATTTAAGAAACATAGATGAGACCCATAAAATAGAGAACCACAAAATGACAAATACAAATGAATTTGGCTGAAAAGCTAGCCGTTGGCTGATAAACTAGTCATGTGTGGTAAAAGTTGGTTGATAAGCTAGATAACAATGTAAAATGATAAAGGAAAATATAAGGGTCATCTATGTAAAATATAAGAGACATAGTTGGAAAAAGTTAAAAGGCTCCAATAAGCTATCTGAAGAAGCTTTTCGAAAAGCTAGTTTATGGCTTATCAATTAGGAGTTTTCAATTGGTTGAAAAAATAAGCTAGCTTTAGACTTGTATTATGACAACTTTAATCATGGATGCTCCTGCAAAATTGTCCTATTGGAAAGGGGGTTTAGTTTCACAACATAATCGTAGGTTCAACCACAAGGGTGGTGCCTGATTGGTTTGAGCTTGGCTCCAAAGGTCAAAAGTACCAGGAGGTCCCAGGTTCAAATCCAAGAAGGAATAAAAGTCCCCTTGTGGCCGCGGTGGTTCAAATGCGGTGACTCTGGGCTATCTGCAAAGCAGGTGGTCGTCCTGGGATTAGTCAGCTCGTATAGCGGGTTGGATATCCAGGTTAATCAAAAAAAGAAAATCTCAGGTTCAAATTCCCACCCTGCCCTATGACACCATGATGGTTGATTGGCCATGGGGGCGGTACGGTGGGGCACTATCTTTCTTTTTTGATGATTTGATACCTTGTTATATTGACAAGCTCGTGTTGAATTTGTGTTTTGATACAATATTTCTGTGTGGTGGTACAGGAGTGCGGCATATGCACGACAGGTGGTTCATAAGCAGCATAAGGGTGAACCCGAAGAGAAGGGACGTGAAGGTAATGTAGTAGGAGTTGAGGCGGATAAAACGGATTCAAAGAAAGATAAGCATGAGATGTCATTGTTACTGAAGTCGATTAAAATGAAATCGAAACAAGTGCCGTTGCCTTCTGATGGTAAGAAATCAAGAAGGAAAGGGAAATAATTGCACAAAATAATCTAGAGAGAAATGTTGTTTTTGTAAGGTCCGTTTTCATTCCTTTTCATGTTATATTTTTAAAGTTTCGTATTCCTCAAATATGTATCGGGTTCTTGCGTTTTCGAGACACAATATTTGGTATAATGTGAATTGACGTTTTCATTTGTTGGTTGAAGTTTACGAAAACTATCATATACAAGAAAAAGGGTCTTTGGCCCGTAACATTCCAATTTTTTTGGAGGTTTAATCAAATGTGAGGAGTGTATCAGTATTTGTCGTATATGATATATACTTAGAACAAGAGTGAATCCAAGGGTCCATAGAGTAGCAATGCACAAGGTGTTGGTTTTGGGGTACCAAGTTAGGGGTTATTTGTTTACTTTTTAATAGTTCCATTAAGAGGTAATTTCTGAATCGCTAAGAGGTGAATCTTGTTTAGCAAAAAAGAGTCTTGTCTCTTAATGGTTTTAAAACTCTCTGAATGATTTTGTATCTTGGGTCTCTTTTAACCATTCTGCACCTTAATTTCATTCTGAATAATTACCAAACAATTATATTTCATTTTGTACTATATTATAAGAGTCTTTTAATCATTCGGACTACTTAATCATTCTGCATCAAAACATTCAGCAACTGCCAAGTTTTTGGTGTAAATAATTAGCAAATGGTTTGGTGTGATAGATTAAGAGGCTCTCATGATATGGTGCAAAACGAAATATAATTATTTGTTAATTATTTACAACAAAATTAAGGCGTTGAATGGTTAAGGAAGACCTATGATACAAAATTATTCAGAGGGTTTTAGAACCATTAAGAGACAGACTTTCTTTTGCCAAACAAGATTCACCTTTTAATGATTTAAATGTTGCCTCTTAATGAAAATATTAAGAAATAAACAAACAACCCCGTAGTAAGTCCAAGTAAGCAAACCATAAATTCTTCTAATCTATACTATATTATAAGGCATTTGACAAAAACTCTTAAAAACTATTTTTTATGAATGAAGTACTGTTCATCGATGCATATTACTTAAAAATTCAAGATTGCGAGTGATTTTGTGTAAGTACAATTTATCAAAGCTTCATTTTTAAATTCGTATAACTAACTGCAGATAAATATAATAAAAAAATACAGGATAAACATCTATTTTAAATATAGAAAATCAAAAATATAATTAAGATAATCATTAAATTTTTATAGAATATTTAATTATTATCGTTATAAAAATTATATTATTAAATCAAAAATAAATTACTTTATTATTAGACATAAATTAAATTATAATAAAAATTGAATTAAAGAAGTTACACAAAAAAAAATGAAAAATCTATATTATATTATAAAGCATTTGACAAAACTCTTAAAAACCATTTTTTATACATGAAATACTGCTTAATGATGCATATTATTAAAAATTCAAGATTACAAGTAAATTTACGTAAATATAACTTATTAAAGTTCTATTTTTAAATCCGTGTAACTAACTGCATAATTTTAAATATAGAAAATCTAAAACATAATTAAGATAATCATTAAGTTCTAAAAAATGCTTAATTATTATCTTGATAAAAAATTATATCATTAAACCAAAAATAAATTACTTTATTATTAAATCTAAATTAAATTATAATAGAAAAAATGAATTAAAGAAATTACACCAAAAAACCGAGAAGTATTAAATAGTTAATTGATATTAATATCCATATAATTTTTTTCAAATTTGTATGATATGTTCAAATTTATATTTCATTCAAAGATAAAAACATTGTTGCTTTCTCAAAACCCCATAAAACCGTATTATATCGATAAAGACAAAAGCTAAAAGCTAAACATTAAAATCGAGATATATCTCGATGCATTGCACGAGTACCCTAGTAATAGTAATTCGAATCCCTCCAAAAATGGATATAATTTAACTCCATGCTCTAAATTTTTGATGATTCAAAAATTTTCGTATTGGAAACAGAGGTTAAGATAGGTATATATAGGCAAATGTGACAACCCTTAAAGCTTTCACGATTTCATGGTGGTTGCGACAATTTTCAGTATCTTATATGACGGTCAACTGTTGCAACAATCACCATTGAAGCCAACTGTCATCAAAGGCGATGCTTCTGGAGTGTTCCATGAATGCAGCCCCTAATGTGAACCATCGTGACTTTTCATGAACAGGCGTCACTACCGAACCGTTGCGTTTGTTCGACGACAAACCTACCAAACTATCGCAAGTGTTACAGGCCGTCGCTAATGGACCTATCGAAAATAAAATTTGAATGCGTGTGTGCGAAGTGCTCCATCAAAGCGCTACATTGCAACAGCCCACAGTCGCGCATGTGTAAGGATGCGATGCACCCTATGGCTAGTGAGATATAATGGCTACTCAAGGACTTCGAAGTTTTTCATCATAACACATCCCCGGACATCGCTGAAAACCCCGTGTTCCATGAACGTACCAAACACGTCAGAAATCAACAGCTACTTTGTTCGTGAACGTGTGACGATTCCACCCTCGAAACAAATTGAACTATGCTTTATTAAACGTAAACCGATGTTTTATTAACCGTAAACTGTAATTCGTCTCGACAAACAAAACTATCATATTTACATCAAAACTAAATAAGAATCGTAAAGTAGCTCTGTATGTATCATGATTCTATACTATATCGTATATACTACACTGCGCCATCATCGTACAATATGAACGTAACTCTTTAAAAATCACATGAAAAAAATCGTTAGAATAGAGGCCACGACTATGAAATGCGTGTATGATAACCTCTTCAGCCCCGATGCCATGCTTCCTGGCTGAGCCTGTCTCGACCTTGGCGATCTGTTCCTTGCTGTTGCTTCAGGTCCAACAGACATAGCCGGTGACCCACTAGGGGACACTCGTGGGCTTATCGGGAGCGTGTTCGATTCTATAGCGTCGTAACCTGAACATAGATTCACGATCATCGTTAATCATCTAAAAACGCAATAGGAAATGAACAAGAGCGTCGAGATTTACTCACAATTAGAAGCTTTCCAACCCAAAATGTTCTTTTCACGATCAAACACTACTCGATATCCCGTCATAAAGTTCTCTGAAGAAAAATACCGAAATATTTGTCAGATTCTCAGAAACAAAAAACGATCGACGTCAAGAGGATGATGCTAGCATGCTCCTAGAACGATGTTGCTCCGTCCATTTCAAAATAAACTTTCACGATGACACGGTTTCAGAAATGTATAATTGCACTTTCTAATTAACTAAATGACTATTTTACCCTTAATAATATCAAGGGTAAAATTGGAAAAAATATGCACTCACTTGAGACAAACTAAAATAAAAATGTAGACATTTATTTTAGTACAGAGGAAGTGACGTGTATAGGAAGGAAACGTTCATGAAAGAGTGATCAATGATCGTTACTTACGCCCAATGATATTTACGTCCTCACTTTTGGCAATCCCCAAACAGACCACCGTCCCGCCCCCCTACGTAACCACAACGATAACGAAATTAGAATTCAAACGAGTTAAACTAAGATGCAAGTGAAAAAAAACACCTCTCGTTCTTACTTCAAGAGGAACAAAGACGAGTGGATCGGTGACGGAAAACTGGTCTCCTCCTCTCATCGTTAAATTCAGCAATGGTGCTTGGACCGTCTGCTGGTTCGGACTGCACAAAAACTCATATTAGACTTCCCTTTCTAAACCAAAAACCACACTACACATTAGGTCATATATGTATTAAGCTTTCTGGATGGATTAAGCTATACTACTGACCTGATATCATAGCAATACTCGAAGGGGAGATCGGAACTGGGCTGACTCCGCGTCTCTTCCGTCTGTGAAGCAAACTGCAAAAGGCACGCAACTCTACTAAGTACCGGAAAATCAAGAAACAAGAAGATTACTCTACACAACACAACACGACTAATTACTTACACTTTCGCTAATAATCGTGTATACGGGATCGTTCAGATACGTGAACGAGGTACCGGTGTCGAAAATCGCGCTGAAATCAATGTCAGTAACGTTGTCTCCCACGACCGTTTGTGTCATGCTGATGTTATAAGTTCGACTGCCACAAAAATTCAAGAAACAGAAAAAGTCAGATACTTTTATAATCGAACGAATTACTTCCCAACTTCACAATCGATTAAAATCAGCTTACTGAGGTGTATCGAGGTTCAACGGTGTTTCTCCTTGATCCAAGCTGCCTTTATCTCCGAAATTGATCCTTCCTGCACCATCAGAGCTGAAGCACATGGAGAAGGAGTTGGCCGTAAGACCGCTGCTGGCTAGAATGCTAGGGACCGATAAGTTCTCCATGCCAAGCCCAAACAGACCGTTAGGGGCTGCACCATCTAAAAACGAGCCAGTTTGGATGATTCCACAGCTGCAATGAATTACGATGAGCATATATAACAAGAGTATAATACGGTTCTGGTATGAAATTTGACCCAAAACTCAGTGTTCATATCTTTTTCTTGAATGATCCAAATGATACACTTTGACTTTTGAGGTCAAAATCACCGAACTCTAAACGTAATTGGCTACACGAACACTTCAAATTTTTGAACGATTATCATACGTATGACGAATCCATAACGAATACGACCAATAAATAACTCGCGGTATAAAATTCGTAAGAAGATTAGTTAACATATTCTAATATTCGATAAGCTAAGTTTGACTTCAAAAGTCAACTGTCCTATAAGGCATAGAAACATACCCAAACTTGATCTTTGCATCTACAGCTTTCATTGAACTATCTTCCGTTGTCAAATGTAAAGTATCCTCTATCAAGATTCCGGTGGATGACGTATTGCTCGAAAGATAATTGACTTGATACGGACAAATATCGGGTCTAGCAGAGCATTGTTTCCGTAGTCTGCACGAGCTACTATCGCACGGGACTCTCTTGCTCGTGGACGATGTGTTAGGGCTGTATATATTGAAATCAAGTTGCTGCGCGTAGAAAAACGATCATATCAGCTTAAATCTACGTTTTCTTTAAACCAAACGAAACCAGTATATCGCACAGAGAGTAAGGTCTAGGGATAAGATGTACACAGAACTTACCGCTACCCAGAAGGTTTCACATCTATTTTCATTAAACGAATCTAAAGATTCGAGGTTCGATTCAAAAGCAAGTTGACTTTCTTGAAGTGAAAAGATTCATAAGGAAACACATACCCTTCCGGTTCTTGTGACCAAGCCCTTCACGCAGCTGCGACAATCGCAGGGTATCCAAAACAGGTCGCTCCCGGTGTCGAGTGCCACCAGAAACCACAAACTCGGATTACCGACCGAAACATTCGCGTAATGCAAACTGCAGATTTCCCGCAAAATATTTCAAGAATTATGCATACAGAAATCAAAGAAAACACCGAAATTTGGTATGAACAATAAGAGATTTGCTTTCTTCTTCTATTCTGTTCTTTAATTTGATAGATACCCAATTTATGAACAGAATCCCCAATTCAAATTTATGAACAAAAACCAGGAACCAATTAGAAACACAAATTCAATAAGAAACGATTGAAGCCTTACAATCCGAGAGAAGGAAGCTGGTAAGTATCATTGCCATCAATAAACGCTAACGAGGATTCAACGGTGCCGGCGCCGGCGAGACGGCGGCCATGGAAGATACGGTCACGATGGGCCATAGCAGTGTAATAATCGACTGAACCCATCTGCGGCAAGTGACGATCATCAATATCCAAAATCCCCTTCACTGGATCAGAGTATCTATGATGTATATCGAATCCAAAAGTCCCAAAAGCATCAATCAATCTTGAACCCAAAAAAATCAATCCAACCAATACCAAAATCAAATTACACCCAAAACCCATATCAATAATCAAAGAGAATTCCAAGGGAGCGAATCTTCAACAAAAAAATGAAAGAACACCCAATTGGAAATTCTCTTTATACCTGAACAACTATCAAACACTAGAAAGCAATAGATCTATATATATGTATAATGCGTATCATGTATGTATATGTTATATATATATATATATGTAGAGAGAGAGGAAAAAAGGGAGTAGAGAGAGAAGATTCAGTTGCTACAAGTATAAGGTAAAAGGCGAAAAGAGGTGGTATATCTCTTTTGCGGTCTCTGTCACGAGTATGAACACGAAAGCAGTTGTTTTTTTTCTACTTTTTGCGGGAGACTTGGAAAACGACGCCATGTCGACTCGCCCATTTTCCTTATAATTCCTTTAAATTGTATATTAAAGTAAACTTTGAGATCTTGTGGGACCAATAATTTTTCGTAAAATTTATAAGATTAATTCTCAATTTTTGGATTAGATCTATAATTTAATAATTTAAACATTCATAAATGCTACAAGATTTCTTAATAATTACTAAATTGTCACCGTACAATTTAGACCGTCTGATCATTAACTTATAAAGTTAATTAATGAACATAAATTGGTCTTACGAGTCTCACGAAATACATTTGGTCTCACGTAAACCCAACTCTATTAAAGTATTAAGAGTGTATTTATAGTTATACCATTACCAGGTTCACTTTATTAAGCAGTTTAATAAAGTGTCGTTTACTAAACGCTTACTCGGTAGATGTTTATCGGGTAATTTTCCTCACCGGACGAATATAGCAAGACCCAAGAATCATACATGGTAAGAGCGATGATAAGGATAGAAAGTCTTACCCGATAAGTGAGGGTAACAACTCTTACTCGGGTAAACGCTTACTATGTATATTGTTGCACACGATACGCGCTTACCGAGTAAGTATTTAGATAAACATCCCCTAAGATTAACTGAGAACGATAAATTTATTCGAGTAATTTGTTTATTATCTTGGTAATAATTTAATGATATATAAATTAACTAATTTAGTAAAGTTTTTAGTAAAAATACTGTTTTTTTTTAAACATGTTTCTTCTAATTAAAAAATGTTTCATCTATACAGATAGATTAATTCATACAAACAACTTTACGTATATATGACTGAATAAAAACCCAACCAAACAACCATATGTTATAAATTGTAAATTGAAAATTAAAAAATTAATATTTAGTGATTATTTTTTTTAGAAATAAATTTCCAAAAATTATGTTTTTTAATATTTAAAGAAGGATAAAACAAGAATATTTTAGAAATTGAAATTCTTTAGTAATTTGTATTTAATGTTTTATAAATTGTATTTTTTTTTAAATTAAATTTTTTAAAAATATATATATTTAATAGATTCTTCAAAATTTCTGCAAAATTTCATTGGACCTTATAACATTTATTTTATTATTAAAATATTTCATTCACCTAATAAAATTATATTCCTTTTTTAAAAATACTAATTTGAAGTTCCTTATCTGTTGGAGATGCTCTTACACTCCCTCTCCTACTTTCTACATTTCGGAGAATCTGTTGGAGCAAAAAAAATGCTTAAAATCCCCAAAATCTTAATTTTCTCTATTTTGGAGAATCTGTTGGAGATGTTCTAAGAAAACAAAATCTTACATGGTTTATAATAATAATATAGATAATGATAAACGGTTTTGTTTTTTAAACGAAAATTTTAAAATAGAATTAAGTTATGAAACTAGCTTGTAAGTCTTGTTTGATTTTGAAGTATCGAAGTTAGGTTACAGTTTGTGACAAATTAAACTGAACAATTTGGTTCATCTGTATACGGGTTTTAGGCTGGAGACATTTAATGTTACAGGCTTACGAGAGATTAAATTTTACATTTTATCTGTATCAAGTTTTTGATAATTTAATAAATTGGTTTGTAACTATGCTGAACGAGTTTGGCTGTATAAGTTGTGACAACATTAAATCATACTGATAGTCAAACAAATCCAACAGTATCAAATTAAAGCCCGAAGCTCGATCTTGAAAAATATGGTCAAGAATCGAGAATTTAGTGAATTGGAAGAAGATGAATTCAAGGTCATTTCAGTGTTAATTTATTATCTGATTAATTTATAACATGTGTTTAATTTATTAGTTACAACTTCCTGAATAAACCACTTTCACTAATCTCAAACAAAAACTGGAAAAATCCAAAAAAGTCCAGTTGTTTTTTTATAGACATTTTTTAAACAGATAAATCATTACACTTATTGAAACTGGATTATCTCATCCATCAGACCTATAAACGATTATCGTGGTAAAATCGTAGAAAAAATCCATCAAACTTTCACATTTTGAGAAGGTACCTAAACACTTACCTGATAAGCATTTACTGGTAAAATTTCATACTATCACTTACTTATTAAGTAAGATTTTATTCACTAAAACGCATCGTATGCAAAAATTTAATCCGATAAGCGCTAACCATGTTAAGAGTGGTCGCCCTCACTTACCGGGTGAGACTTTGCTTTCGCTCTTACCGGGTAAGATTCTTAGTCTTATCATGATCATAGATGTTGTTTAGATGTTAAACCAATGAAATCAATGAAAAATTGTTTTATATGGTATTTTTAATACAAATATGCTCGGTCCAACTTCAGAAGACAATACAATGCAATGCTAATGCGCTTACATAGTCACTCAACTTCAAAAAAAATACCAAAATACAAAACAAAATATGTTCCTAAATCCGAACTCATTGACTAGTAGAGTTCAAAAACCGAAGCACATAGGATCATCTCATATGAGGTGGCAATGCAAACAGGACCTTCACCTTGGCTTGATCATTATAGCAAATGTCAAAGAGCTTTATCGACATCGGTTCGAGATATGCCAATACTAAGAAGTTCATCAATGATTTCTTGTATCTTCTCATTACTCAAAGAATCAAATTTATTAGCATGACTCAAACATTGGTAGCAATAGCAGGTTGTGATGCCATTTTGCCCTAAATAGACATAAACTTGGAATGGTTGATGAATTAGAAGGAGATCCTTGTGATGCCATTTGATCTACAAAAACATATGTGAACCTACTGATCCTAACCCCTCTTAGTGATTTGATAATGACCTTATGTATTTAGTGATAAATTCTATGTTAAAGTTTTATCTGAAAGCACACCAGCGACTGGGAGTGTTCAATGTTCGTTGTTATTCTAATTGATGTTTAGAACCTAAGTTTTCTCGAAAGACAAAACTTGATACGTAAGATTCCGAATCAGTTAGGGAGAGGTCACTGAGGACTTCTTCAGTTATCATCGATCACTTCAAGGGAGAGGTCACTTCAGTTATCATCGATCATTTAATGTTTAGAACTTAAGTTTTCTCAAAAGACAAGACTCACATCAAAGAAACTTCAGCAATATCGAAGAAGTAGTTGATGATAAAAATAGAGATAATTTGAGTGGCATTCAGGGATATACCCTATATGAAGATATGCTAATATTTTACTCAAATGATTACCGATAACTGAAGAAGTCCTCAATGACATATCCCTAGCTAATTCAAGATATTGTGTATCAAGTTTCTGTCTTATTTCCCTTGTACAAGTCAAAACCCACATACTTCAATCTGACAAAGGTACGGTACAATATGTTTTACTGTTCCCTTTCATGCTCACCAACTCCCTGAAACACTATTCATTAGCGGCCCAAGTCTGCTTTGCTTTTGGACAAGAAGTACCTATGAGCCACTCTACTTCTGACATGTGGATTATACCTGCTACATGTATTTAATGCACATGGTATAAATAGCTGAGAAGACTCTCTTTCTCACTACGGTGGCTATCTTCTTCTTCTTTGCTCTTATCTTCTCTCTAAGTGTATCATGTGCAAAAACCTTTGTGTTTTCTCTACTTTGTTCTTCAAAGATTCTCAATGCTCTAAGCTTCAAAGTAAGATTGTTTAGATTAGGTTAACTTCTTTTCTTATTCAACAACAGTCTGTAAATTCAAGTATATTGATTCTTCTTCTTAATCAATAAAAGAATATGTTTGTATTCAATTCCCCATTCTACAAACTGTTACAGCCTTTTTAACACCCTTAGGACCAACAGAACCAACACTAGTGAAAACAGAACCCAATAATAAAAACAAACTATAGATCTAACAAATATCTTAAGATGGTTGTTTGAATGTTCGTGAGAGATTCCATAGTAGTTCTAAAAGTTGGCACCAATATTATGATCGGAGACACCACCAAAACATGGTAATAACAAAGTTTATCGGACAAAATTTAATCACAAAATTATTGAACAAGGGTAGAACTCACTCTCAATTTTGGTTCTAATCACAAGTGATGAATGTTAATCGAGAAGAAAAAACGACTTATCTAATTTTGGCATATTCTCTTGATATAGGGGGTGTTTGGGATTGCTTATTTAAAACAACTTATGTTTTTTTGTAAAAGTGCTTATTAACGTATGTGGTATTAAACCGGAGTTAAATAAAACAGAGTTAAAATTGTAAACTGGTAATAAGCAGTTTTTCATAAGTCATGAAGAATTAACTTATCAAAAACAACTTATTACATGTTTGGCACCGGTATAAGCAGTTTTTTTTTCTTATCCAAACACCAGAAAACAGCTTATCATCAGTGCCAGACTGAAATAAGTTAAAAAGCAGTTTTTTTTTCTTATCCAANGAAATAAGTTAAAAAGCAGTTTTTTTTTCTTATCCAAACACCAGAAAACAGCTTATCATCAGTGCCAGACTGAAATAAGTTAAAAAGCAGTTTTTATAAGCAATCCCAAACACCCCCATAGTTGAAATTTTTTTATATCAAATAATTCCACTGTATGATTTCGATATCAAGTAATCCATTTGTATTTCGTATGATTGAATCTGATGTATCTTACACTGTACATGTGCTCTGCACGTCTTTGTGACTGTTGTCGTGTGAAGTTGACGTCTTCTATTAGGTAAAATGTATGCATCATATGTTACAGAAAGAGAAGAAAGAATAATATATATGAAACTTTCTTTAAAAATTCATCAACATTTATTTAATAAATACTGATAATTAATTATCTTCTTAATTAACAAAACTAATACAGGAATCAGATAGAATTTTTAGGAATGAAAATTGATGGCAACGGTATAGAACTTCAAA